ATTATTTCTTGCTTTATTTTTCCTCCTTTTTTCTTTCTTTTTTTTTGAAATATTACAGTAACACTGAAATATAAACTGTCATTACGAAATTTTACATCAATAAAATTTATCATTTTTTCAACAATGATTTTGCTTGACATCATCTCATTCCTTCCTTTTTTTTTTTTCTTTCAATTAATTATTTTTTCATTTTTTGAAACAAGAATTTCAGACAAAAAAAGAAAAAAAATCTTGAAATGAGCTATTTTACTTGTTTAAAATTTTCCGGTTTCAACTAATCCAAAAGAAGAAAGAGAAGGAAAAAAAAAAAGAATTAACCATTGTTGATGATGATAATAATGGTTTGAATATCTATACTGTATTATATGAAATAACATAAAATTTATCCTATTGCTTAAAGAAAACTTTTTCTTTTTTTTTCTCATCCAAATTTACTACTGTATACAATAAAATTTCAAATCAAATAAGGAAGAAATCTTTTGTATTTTTAGATTTGAAGGACAAAATGTGACTAAACGAAAGCAATGAAAAGCAATTACCGATATATCATTAGTAATACAATACGATACAGTATGGTATGATACGATATGATATAATATGGTAATGTTGATAGGTACAGTTAAAGTGTAGCAAAATTAGATACATAAATTTAGTGAAATTAAATGGTTTATTTTGAGAATTTTGATTACGATCATAAAGATGGTACGGTAAAAGGATGGTAAGAAAAATGTATGAATTGGTTAACTTTGATATTCAATATATACATATATGTATATATATGAATTTTTCATTTCATTTTTTCATTTACCTTAATTTAGGAAAGAATTCCTTTTGTAAAAATTTAGAAAAAAATGATTAAATTTATTAAAAAAAAAAATTACCAAATTTTTTTCCATTTAATTTATTATTAACTTTCAAAACTTCAATTTCTGCATATATTGCTTAAATTACAAAATTAAAATAGAATAAAAAAAACTTTTAAATCTTTTATTTTAATAAATTTGGAAAAATAATCGTTTTTTTTCCCTTTTTCATTTTTCAAACTATTACAAAAATTCATTAACTGAATGAAAAATAGTTGTATTATCATTGTCATTACACAATCTTTATCATTGCATAATATCATAATACATTGATAATTTTATAAATTATTTATTATTACATGATAAATTTAATAATTATTACTATTTTGTTTTTGTTTTTTTTTTTTTTATTTTTACCTATAATAAAAGACAAAAAAAGGTGGGAAAAAGAAATGAAAAGTTTATATAAATATAAATTGTGGTATTAATTAATTAATTAACCAATTAATCAACTAACCTGTGTACGTGTTACCTCACGCCAAATATTGCTTGAACGTGATTTGCAAAAATCAACTTCATTTTGCATAACAGATTGTACATGTTGTAAATAATTATAAAACATTGGTACGGAAAGTGCGCATATAAATGATGCAATTGTTGATAATGCTACACCATAAAATGCAACTTTTCGAAGATTTTCAGCTTCTTGTTGCCTTTTCTTATAATGTGATGCATCATCATCATCATCCAAATGAGGCCTCATCACTGCAAATTTTGTTTTTTTTTTTTTTTTTACAATAAAAATTTAATAAATTAATTTAAAACAAAATGTTTGATATTGTATTTTTTATATCTTTTTTTTTTTCCTAAACATTTTACAACAGATAAAAGTGTAATTTTATTAAAATTAAATAAGTAACAAATTTTGTTGTAAATTAATATTTACATTTGTAATGAACAAAAATAATTGAAATGAGGAAAATAATTAGGAAAGGGAAGGAGGGAATGGAATATTTATGTGACAGAGGCATTTGACATCTACAACAAATAATGATATATATTTATATATCATGATAATTAGATTTATTCGATTTTCAAAGATATTTGAAGAATTGCATATGTAATTTTTTGATGTATAACAGGTAACGGTGATAGGAGAAATTAAGATTTTTTTTTTTTTTTTTAGTAAATTTGTA